TAGCAGAGATCACTGTTATTCAACCAGATCACTTACTTTGCATAGAGGGTAGGAAGTTGTGAGATACTCGATTGTTGCACACTTGTGGAGGGGGGAGATTTGATGAATACCAAATGCACTTTGATTGGCATCTACGGTGCTCTCAATCCTTCAGCTCAAAGCGAATGTGGCAACCGAAGCATCTGTCAGCCGAGAGTTGCAGCCACATTTGTGTACGCAAAATTCACTGGTTAGTGAATATTATAGACTAATGGTAGTGGGTTGCGGAACTCCAATCCAAACCTGGGATCCAAAAGTGATATTCGCTCTCCTCCCCTTGCAATCGCATTACCATCATGACTAAATGATCGATGGCCTTTGACCAAACGTGCAGAAAGTCAAAGTCTGTGACCTGAATACACAAGTTTTCTTTTCACCTTTATACTAAGCGTGTTTGCAAACCTGTCGTTCTTTGATTAACCGAGTATTTTTACGGTGCCTCATATATGGTCACATTGCAGTTTTAACTTTAAGATCATCTGTCTATGCCAGAGTGTGATCTTTTGTGGTATGAGTGGTAAACCAGGGACTCGATCTAAACTTTGATGCATGCTGACATTTTCATACGTCAGAGCATGTAGAAAATCACGCACATGGATAGGAGCAAACGCGGATGAGCATGAAGGATGGGTCTGATATTTCTTTGATATCCTGCGTTAGGTTCATCTTGGAGAGAGGTTTTGATTTTTCCACGAAGTCTCTTGCGTGAAACATTAAACTGGATGTAGTGCTGTGAGAATGATAAACAGGATTATTGCATAGTCAACACCATGGGACAAAAGTATACTCACGTACCTCCTGAGGGGTCTGTGATTCGAGAGTTTCTTCAGTGGTTACGGCGGATGATTTTAGGGGACATATGGGAACCACACGATGTAGTGGAGGACGAGGATACGCTGTCTGAAAAAGCAAACCACAATAACAAATTAGTTAGGGTGAAAATGTGGTCGTACACCAGAAAAATTGTGTTTGAGGATAGGGGACATTTGAAACGTGAGACTTGATGGAAAACTGTATCATAAGTACAGCTGGAGATTTTGGAATGATTCGGTGATGTTGAACGGGACATTTTTAACCTGGTTCGATCGATCTCGCACGATCCGCAAGAGACAAATTGCCAGGGCTGCAACTCCCTGACACTTTTAGTTCTAGGAAGTCCGATGTATGTTCCAACAACTGCATTCATATGAGACGGTTCTGGAGGTCTCCTCGTTCTCACTGACCAGCTGTCTGATTTCAAGAGTTCCTCGGGCGTCTCACAGGAGTCGGCACTGAAAAGTTTTCGATCCGTAGGTTGGTGTCCATGAGCACATGAAGTGACAGTGATGGATACATTTGCGGTAGGTCAGTGCAACCGTGCTCTGTAGTTGGTTTGTATGACGAACCCACATGCCTGAAACGAACTGGATCTCATGGGCTACCTTGAGGTCTTTCTAGTGAGAGCACCACAATGTTCACTTATCATGGTTGTGACGGTGATTCTTCGCTATAGCTCTCTCTCTCTCAAATGGAATAATCTCGTACTCTACAATGCCTGCTGAAGTGCTCTACTATAGCCTTTCTCGTTGTTCCTCTCTGCCGAATCTTACCGGCTGAATTACGTCAAAAGGCAGAAAGAAGTGTCGTATGGACAGTTAGAGTTCGGGCGTGCTCGGTAGTTTAGCAGAAATGTCTTCAATATCTCCTCTGCTTTGGTCTTTTCAAAGGCCCCTTTGAAAGCACCCACAAATAGTTTTGCCTGTCCATTCAGATGTGGGTACGATGGTGGAGTTTATACATGCTGGATGCCGAAGTGATAGCAAAACTTTGAGAAGAAATACGTCTAAATCTGCCGAAAAGGCTTCGGATAGTGTTGATCGTTGCATTGTAGGCGTCCGCTACACTTAAGTTGTTATGCTTCGTGAGTGATCCGGCACCTTACACGTGAATTATCAACTCAAGGCTTGTGGGCTTAACGGTCCAGTCAATTTTCCCAGGTCAAGCTCCATATCCGACTCAGTCGCTCATGTCGTTCAGCAGTTTACAACACGCAGCTAGATGTATGTGTGTGGGGGGGGGAGCAAGCAATCGAGTTATTATTATCATTACTAGTACAGGGGTACGAGAAGAGAAAGGTCAAAGTTCATGAGATAATACTTACCTGACGATATTTCAATCGAGCCATATAACGAGAAAAGGCAGAAGCAGTGAGCACATATGCTTTGTCCTCTATACATTCGACCGGATTGGTGTCACAATGCCGACTGGCGTATAGCTCATTGGGCACCAGATTTCCGGGTGGGCAACCAACGTGCTCCGGTCGATAGTACCAGAGAAGGGACATCATTTTTGTTTCTGTCGTACAGTCATCCAAAAAACAATAAAGGAAACGTCTAAAGTATTGCGCTATTCAATAAGGAGTTAGCTAAACTATCAAAAAAAATTCCAAACGTTAACCCGAATAACAGGTTATTTATAGCTGAAATCTACGAAAACCTATCCTTCTTTTTCGCTTCACCGACCTGTACGGATTTTGGGCATTTATGGAGCCATTAATATCTAAACAATTAATGAAATTTAAACATCCTTTGCCAGGAACATTATCAATAAACGAGTTCAGTTGATTTCAAATATTGATAGTGCATACAGCCTGTTGTGAATGAGAGCGAAATGCGTGAATTCCATGGTCACAAATACCCATCTTTCCACAATAATAACCACTAATCCCACCCTTGGGACTTGAAGTGGTGACATTCAGATGGACGACAGCGCGATAGTTTACTACCGATGATGGGCACAGGTGATGAGATTATAAACCTCAGTCTCCAGGCAATGCCAGTCACAGAGACCTATCAAATACAACCATCTCCATGCGATTCAGTTTCAGTTTTACCACCGTTAACCATGCACTTTCGTGCGCCGGATTTGGTTGCTGTCCCATTTGGATAAAAGAGCAGAAGAAAGATTGAAATGTTGCGAGTAGGGTCACAGAGATAATAGAGAAATCAAATGGAATAAGAGCGCAAGGATTAATAATAATTAATAATAATAACAATAGTGAGTAGATGCAAGAGCGCCTGTTGGCGACACTCAGCCATATCACTCAGTGTATATAACCACCGGGTACGATGATCCACACGATTAGGCATTTCGTTTTGGCAACATTGAATTACGTGCTCGCCTTTTCCCGAAAGAGTGACCAATGGAGAAACATGCTATTGCATGACGTCTAGAGGGATCCAGTCTCAAGCAGCACGTAATAGACGAACCAACTAAACACACACACGGGTGATCATTTCAACCTTGATTCGGCCGGAGTTACCTAATGTAAAAGTGACCAAATGCAAACACATCATCCTTTTCAGACGAATATTCAAAGTTTTTCGAATGCTGAGATAGGTACCTGGATCCTCTGCACCCGAATTTCTCTGAACAGGATGTTTTGAAGACAGCTGAACGATCGCCCGTTGGAAACAACTAAAGTAAAGCATATTAGTAAGGGATCGATCGTGACAAAAGCCACGGAAAAGAACACGCATAAACGAAAAGCTGGGTGGCCTTGTGTAAGTCTATGAGTGTGCACATGTTATAGAAATTCAACGAGGCGAGTATCGATCGATATGGAGTTGTTTAGTCAGATGCACTTTTGATCGCATGTGTACAGAATAAGACTGGGAGAGAGAGTTAAAATGAACCACCCCTCCATTGAGAACATACGGAATATCCAGGGATCTGCAGAGATTGTTTTAAATAGCTAAATTCGGTCAGAAAATCACTAGGGTAATTGGACTGAAAATAATCGCAAATCTCTGAGTGTATTAGGCCCTGCATTGTACTATTCTGCATCTAAAAAAACATTATGCCATAATTTTAGAGGTCTTTTGATTTTTGCCGATAAAATCCAAAAAGGCAACCCAACACAGGACATTTGATTACCGGAAACTAAGTGTAAATACAAACCTGTTCTTAATAATCCGAATTTCGCTTACCGACCAATTGTGTTGTGTATTCTGTCAAGTGTTTTATTTTGCAGTGGTCATAAATTAGCGAACCTCGAATGTCCTAGTATACTTCACGCAGATTTATTTCCCACAGAAATATTAACGACATTCCGTATTACACGACGAACTTTGTCGATGTGCTACCATCTGATCTAGTCCGATAAATTTCCAGCCCCTTGGTCACATTCTTATTGAACAAAAGATTATTGTATAGTGCATGAAATGCTATTAACTTTGAAATGTTTCCACAGTTTCTCGTATAGGAAGGAAACCATACAGATTGATCAAATCTGGTGTGAAAGATATTTCAACTCCTTACTGTTTTGAGTAAACAAAAAAGGATTTTCGTTTTCCACTGCCAAACTAGAAAAATTGGTGAATGAAAAACCAAGCACCAACCTNCCCCCCCCCCCCCCAACACACACACACCAAACGAAAGCTAATCGCGTTAGTCAGGCATCAAAAAAGTCTAACAATCATTGCAAGGCACAGCCTGTTGGTCTAATTTTTCTTATTTGTACGCAGGCATAATACCTTCACTCGTAGTTTAACTGATATCCACTGAAGGCAACGCTGCGAGGTGATTTGCTCTTTACAGAGATATGCGCAACGAGTGTCAGGATAACCATAATCCACCTGTATTTTTCCTTTCGGCTTGAAGATCTAACAAAATGCGCTCGCCTACCCTTCACACCGCCGAGAACCGTTTAAGCACTGTGTGCAGCCGAAAGAATGACCCTGGTAATTAGTTCTTAACCTTTCGTGTGTGGGGCGAGGGGTGTGGAGTTATCACTAAATTATACTGATATCGCTCAAACCGCCGATCAAAGAACAACTGCAACAACAACAACAACAGCAAATAGTACTACCGCTGCTACTACTATTACTACTACTCCCCATTCACGATTAACATGTGATGAAAAGACAAACAACTGACCCGGATTGACCGAATCCGCGAAAAGTGCCGTGATCTTTGCAACATGAGGTGGGTTACTACGATCTGGACCACTGCATAACAGGACACAATCTTTCTCTCGGATCACCATCCCGTCACGACGATGGCGTATGGCTCGGTAACAAGTTCGAACTACGGGGGGTCCGTCAGACTGTAAGAGGACAAAAAAGAGACCTCGTGAGACAAATGGTCATGAATGTGAGTGAGTTTGTGTTAAGTTGCTCTACGAGGTGACATATCTAATGCAGAAAGGGAACGGTATTGATCGTTTGTCCACCGTTATTGAAAATAGAAACACAATAGGAAAAGTTCTTCACACCATTTTGATAGTATTTCAACGATGCGATAAGTCGATAGTGAAAAGCATGAAAGTTTAGGATTGTCACGAAAAATTTCCATTACACTGAAAACAGATTTGTTTCACACTATAAAAAGTACAGGGAGTAGCAGGTTTATTCAACCAATACGGGCACATTCCAGTTTCGTAAAACCGATCATTGCTTGCTTTCGCAATGCATTGTGGTATTACATCTCACACTTTGAATCTCTTCCGCACAATCAGCAATTGAAAAAAATTGGTAAAAAAACAGTGCATTACAACACACTGAAAAAACGCGCACCTAAACTGACCACGTTTGAACACACCAAAGATGTGGTTTGAAGTTAACCACATCTATTGTAAACATAACTATTTGAATCATTTTTGATCACCAGTTGCAATCAGTCTCTGTCCGTTGATGCTCCCCCAGAACCATTGGGTTGATCCGGTTCTTAAGAGTCACATTACTGTTAAACCTACGTATTCGTGAGGGGGAATCCGGATTCTCAAACTTTAAATTCTACAAAATAACTTCTGATCTGAATTAAATGCCCCGTTCGTCCCCAGTTGACTTCACAGACACTGGGGTGTGAATATGGATCCTCATACTGAGATTGTGACTAGCTCCTAGGGAGTCTTTAATCTACATAGGTCATATACTCTCTTCTCGAAAGAATTCGTGTAATGAATGACAAGGAGCACTGTACAGCTACTTTTCCTTGTTGGGACTCATCAGAGATGAAACATTTTTCCTCTATGTCAAGACTCGATCTACCGACCTTCGGGCGGGAAACTGAAAGTCTAACCGGTCGACGACGTGTATATAAAGTGAATTACGTTAAAAATTGGTAAAATTCCATCAGTGATGCGTGAAGTATGATTATGCCGGTCCAGAGTGATTAAACGCACCAATAACTATTGGCGACGTTGGTGCATAGTTCGTCCCAGTGCAAAATATTGAAAACTCTCGTGAGTGCCGTAAAATTGTCCGAAAATGCCAAAAAGAAGTGATGGGAGTGATACGGAGGGAGAGGGACAGAACAAAACAACGAAACAAGTGCATTCCCGTTGGTCCCTCAACTAACTGGTTCATACACCACATCTGACATCGCGTCTTTCTTTACAGAGAACAAAATAAACCAAAGAAAGGGGTGGATTTTAAATTCCACAAATCGGACGTAGCCATTTATTGACCAGCTGATGCATATTGGGTAGATTCCGCTGTAAAATTATCTCAACTCATTGGTACATTTCGGAGTAAGCCGAATCTGATGGCAGTGACCTGGACGTGGTGAAAGACCGTAAGATATACAAATAAAAACAAACAGATTAAACTTGCACTTACACGACAAAACACCGCCTTTGTGAAACTACTTCCTTCCCATTGCCAAGCATTCCGCGAACCGTCTACCGGGCATACAATGACTGGTTCGACAACAGGCAACGTGTCCGATGGAGTCGTGTTCTGGTGTAATGTGGTTTTTACGGCTAGTGAAGCGGTAATAATTTCATGTGGGGACGAAACATTGGTGGAAGTCACTTCTGGCGGAACAATAGTAGAATTCGAGGTAGTCGGACTAGTGGTACCACCATTTGCCAGAGTATAGTTCGTCACAGTTTCTAAGGGGATAGAGACGGACGTACAAGAGGGAATAGTTGTGAATGGCAAGACCACAGAAGTGCCTGAGTTGTTATTCATTCCCATGGAAATTTGAGATGACTCCGATTGTGACAACTGTCCGTTGACTTGGTTGAAAGTCAGGGCAGATGGAACAGAGAANGAGCGGATGGTGCGGGAATCAGAGTTGGTGTCGGAGCAGAAACAGTATGAGGACCCTGTGGCAAAGAAGGCACAGGGATAGATATGGTGGCTGGGGTGGATGAAGAAAACATCGGTTGGTTGCATACAGGTAATTGCAAGCCCAATGGAGATGGAGTACATACGGTTATAGGTGAAGCGTGGGTCGGTAAGGGTAGTGCATTGTCTCGCATCGTAAAAGGAGACGGAGACGCAGAGTAGTACAACGTAGGTGGAACAGATCGGATGAGATTAAATGAAGGGGTCATGGATGGTTGAACTGGGGAAAAGTTGCACATTGGAGACGGTACGAGTGCTGGTGGATGAGGAGTACGTTGAAGTAAATTTTGTGAATGATCAAATTGGTGCGGTACAATATTTGGCATCACGGAGCATTGAAACTGAGCTGGAACTGGAATGAATGATGGAATGAGAATAGCTGAATTCGGATGAGACAGCTGTGTGTGTATAGGTTGCGCAATCTGAGCATACGGATGAATCATGGTCGGCCATGCAGTCACCGTGGGCATCGGAGTGAGTACAGGAAGTGGAATACTGGTAAGAAACGTATGTGCACGGTTGGGGTTGAAGAAGTCCGGAGCATGCACAGTCTGGCTCAAATCTCCTGAAGCACGAATCGCAACTGGCATCGCAGTGGGTGCTGGGACTGATCCACTGGGTGCAACCTGAGTAGGTACGGAATTGTTATTCATCATCATTGAACAATCGGGTTGTGCATAACGAATTACTTGCGTTGTGATCTGTTGAAAACCAAAACCACTTGGGCCCAGAGGGATAAGCTGTTCAGTATGATAACTCTCGACTGTCGATGTATGTGGCTTAGAAGGAACTAAATCTTGACAAGGAGCAGCAATAGTAGTGTGCGGCACTGTAAGTGGACCTGATGTGCATTCTTTTGCCACTTCTATCACAGTTGGTGGACAACTTTTCCGCACCTTTTGTGGTGTTTGGGCCACCCTGGCGACTTTGAGCGACGGTAACAAAGTGCATGAAACCGATGTGGTCGGTGTGGGAGGAGTAAGAACAGTGGGCTTTTTCCCCATTACAGCTGTGGGTGATAGACTCATCGGTTCAGTGAGCGCATCATCAGAATGTATAGAAGCGGCTTCATGAACCTGTTCTGGCTCGTCCTCCACACAAGGCATTGTATCAGCGGACCAACGACGACGATTCGACGTGGACTTTTCGCCCAAAGCCAAACGCTTATTAGAATCTTTTGTCACCGCATTGATGATGGCAACCGCATTAATACTTGCTAGCCGTTTGCTGACAGCCTGTATCTGGGGTATCGAATCTACTCCTAACTCACGTTTCAGCTTGCGCTCTAGTTTGATCCTTGCGGTCTCCTTTTTGGTGTGTATAGTTTGTTGCCTCTGAGGGACAGATTTGTCGCGCCTGCCACGAATAGAGACATTTACTTTTCTAGGTGGACTAGGTTTTTTTCTTGAAGTAATTTTGTTCTCTGGTTTTGGTGAAGCAGCTGGTCTTTTGGGGGTAGAACGCGTTTTCATAAGGCTGGGTGAGGCGATGCCGGTTGTGGCACGTTTTGGTGGACTACGGGCAGCCTCCGTATCAGGAGTAGAAGGACTAGTTGGAACATTGGCCGTTTTGATGCTGGACGTGTACGGAGTGTGGCGTGCATAGAGATCGTAGAACAAGCGTCCGTCTTGGGAATACGTCACAAATTGCGAAGATGCCCGCCTTCCAACAGCATGTATTTCCTTGTATTTAACAATTTTGCCTCCCTTTTTCGTACGTTTGGTAGACTTCGTGCCTTTCTTCCGTGCTTTGATTTTGTTAGATACGACTGCTGATCGTCTCTTTGTCTTGTTTCGTTCTGGTTTAAGCGAGTGTAACGCCTGTCTTCTTACACTGTTTGTCATCCGAGTGCGCATTCCGAGAAAAAGCACTTATTCATGAATATCTGCAAAAAGGAAAGAACACGTTTTCAAATTGCGTTAACCAAAAAATAAATCACACTTCGAAAAAATGATAATGAATCAGGCTAGATGACTGGCTAAAAAACACCACGGTCCCTATAAATCTCATAAAATAATCGAAGCCTGTCTTACACCTTGGGTTCAATTTGGAAAAGGTTTAATTGCTCAGCATTTTATATGAATTATTACAAACAGAACTAGGGAACACAGTTTTGTCAAGTGAAAGCGTTACATGGCATCAGTATTTGGAAAACAAACAGCGACAAGCCACGATAGTATATCTCATTTGTACCTTGGAAGATTCCTCCATGGGAAATGAGAATACGTTAGGAACTGCCAGAACCT